GATTTATTGTAGAGATGAGTTCTCGCCAAGTTGCCCGGGCGGATCTCGAACCTGCGGACTTAGGCAATCCACTCACCACAGCCTCCCAAAGCGCTGGGATTACAGGCTGAGCCACTGAGCCCGGCTTTATATTTTATTTTAAAGATGTGGGGTACAATTCAGGATTAGGTATACAAATGGACATCATACAGGTAAAGTTTAGGCCTCCCTTTGGTCCCCACTTTGCCTGCTTTGAGATCAGGTACCCTTATTGATATTATGCCTCCCCCTAGCCCCTACCCCGGCAATATCCTGCTACTGCCAATCCCTTTCTTATAGTTTTATAGTAAATGTTCAGGGTCTGCTTATGAGTGAGAACATGTGGTACTCTGTTCTTTGTTTCTGTGACAGATCACTAAGTATGATAGACTCTAAATCCATCCAAGTTGCTGCGAAGTCTATATGTTTGTCCTTCTTTATGGCTGTGTAATATTCCATTGTGTAAATATACTACTTTTTTTTAATCCAGTCCAGTTTCGATGGGTAGCACAGTTGGTTCCATGTTTGTGCTATTGTGAATAGTGCTGCAATAAACATGAGTGTGCAGGTAGAATAATCTGAGTAGAATTTTTTTGTAGAATGATTTGAGTTCCTCTGGGTATATTGCCAGCAAGTGGATTGCTTGTTTCCTCATCTTTAAAATGGGCATGATGGCCAAAGATCCATCTTCTTACAGTCACAAAGTGCTTCTAAGTTGCCAGAACTGGGGAGAGCCCATGGCTTTTGTCCATGTGCTGTGTCTGTATACATCTTTGATGCTCCTTATAATCAGTACAGCAGACTTTCCTGGGAGACTGGATTTAGCATGCAGTTATTGGGCAACTATTAAGTGCAGTGTACATGATCAGGATACATCTCTGTTTTCTAGTGGCTCACACACTAGCAAGGCAGATACACCTCATGTCACTAAATATAAGAGACTGTGCATGTACTTAACAGGAATATAATCCAAATGCAGGGGAAAGAAAGCAGGAGATAATTCCATCAGAAGGGAGATCTGGGAAGACCTTATTTCTCTTAAAATAAATTTGTTGGGTGGTTTGTGCATTCATCTAGCCAGCCTTTCCCAAGTGTCTTTGTGTAGCATTACAGTGATTCTCAGCTCTGGCCAATGTAGGAATTGCCTCATGTGTATTGAGTCAAAATCAACTGGGTTTGGAATTGAGCGTGGGGTGGGAGGGGAGTGTGTGGAATCTCTGGTTAAAAGGGTGTGTGAGAGGGAAAACAAGATTGATATTCAATCTGCTAGGCTTGGAATGAACACACTAACATTTAAGACCATTTCTTCTGATCTCTGAAAAGTTGCAAGATAGAAGAGGATGTTAAAAAAAAGTTCGCAAAGAGCTTTTTACAAGCAGATTTGTGTGAATAGTACTGAACAAATACCACTAGAGTATAAAGGAGGAGGATGGCACCTCTAGAATGTTTTGTGGTGACGTGAGGTTTTCATGTGGGCCTTGAGGTGGGAGTATTGGATTATTATGGAGTTCATGGCACTGAGGGCTGAAAGGTGAGAGGCAGGGGCACTGCCATCCTCTAGCAGTTACTTGAGTTTGGAAGAAAGTGAGTGCCACGGCTTAAAGGTCTGAGGGGGACCATGGAGGCCAAACTAAGGAGTTTGGGTTCTGCTTGGAAGGTGTGAGGAACTTTGCGATATTAATCACAGGGGTTGGCACAAATGATTTTAGGTAAACAAGTCTGACCGCAGACCAGAGTTTTATCAGCCATCTCTGATGAGGCAGCAAATTCTGTATCCAAAGTCACTCTAAACTGATAACTTTAGACCTAAATGGACTATGAGTTTGTAAATAAGGCCATGATCGAATGACAAAGACTAACATGATCACAGAAAAGTATCCAGTTTGCCCATGACTGTCCTTGTTTTAGTCCCAAAAGTCCTGCATCCTGGGATACACCCAAGTCCCAGGTAAACCAAGACAGTTGGTCACCTTAACTCTAGAGAAGTTGTCCCAAGGGTAATATTTTTAAGACAGTAGTTTTGTTTTCCCATTTACTATATTTTTTCTTTATTTCAATAGATTTAGGAGGTACAAACAGTTTTTGGTTACATGGTTGCATTATATAGTGATGAAGATGTCTGGGCTTTAAGTGTCCCCACCAACCCCACCTGTGCATATTGTACCCTATAGGTGATTTTTTGTCCCTCCACCCTTTTCTCCCCTCTCCCTTTTGAGCCTCCAATGTCCATTCTATCATTCTCTATGCCTTTGCAGACTCTTAGTTTAGCTTCCACTTATTAGTGAGAACATGCAGTGTTTGGTGTTAGTTCACTTAGGATGATATTCTCTAATTCCATACAAGCTGCTGCAAACGACATTATTTCATTCTTTTTGATAGCTCAGTAGTATTCCCTAGTGTTTATATACCACGTCTTCATTATACACTGATAAGTTGATAAGCACTTAGGTTGGTTCCTCATCTTTACAATTGTGAATTGTGCTGCAATGAACATAATAGTGCTGGTATCTTTTTTAATATAATGACCTTTGTTCTTTGAATAGATACCTAGTTGTGGGATTGCTGGATCAAATGGTAGATCTACTTTTAGTTCTTTGAGAAATACCCATACTGAATTCCATAGAGGTTGTACTAATTTACACTCCCACCAATAATGTATGTGTTCCCTTTTCTCAGCATCTGTGCCCTCATCTATTGACTTTTAATTGTTTAGTAATGGTTCCTCAAGACAGCTGTTTTAAATGAAAGCTATGTCCTTCCTTCCTGTTCTTGGAGATGAATCCATCGCCTTTTGACTTTAGAGTGATCACAAAGGCAGGCTCCTGGGACATCAGGGGTTACCAGTACTTTGTGCCCACCTCACTTGATGTTCTTTTCACATCAGCATCATCAGAACCAGTCTCTCTGTGCCCAGATCACAAGGGCACATGAGAACACCTTTTGAGTTTCCACTAGCTTAATGCTGAAGTCAGTAAGGGCCAAAGTTGCAGGGATGACAATTTTTGGGAGACAATTTTTGAGTGAGAGTCAGCTCAAGGGTTTCATGGAAGACATGGAAAGCCGTTTAACTAACAGGGTGAACACTCTCAGACCTGTTCCCTATGTCCACCAGCTGAAAGCGTCGAGTCCCTTCAACACACATCCTCCCTCTTCACACTGTGCAAGGAGAAGGTGGATCCCACGGAAAAGACTGTGTTAAAGATGCAGCACTGCTCCCATCTGTTGACTCATCATTCTCAGAGATCTTCAAATGTAGAGTAGACTGTATGTAACAAATGTAAGAGTTGCTTTGGTATCAGTTACTCAAGATCTATGATGAAAACATTTACAGTATCCTCCTGGTAGCTATTTTTAAATGCTAGTTTTATTTATAGTTTCAAAATATTCCTTCCTCTTAAAAATTTTTAAAGTATAGAAATGATCTGTGTGGTTTTTTTCTTAAACATGGCAGTGCTTTAAGCAGTGCTCTTATTTGCTGTGAATTGTTTTCCCGGGCTGATCATGGATTTGTGTAGATTCATTCATATCCTTGGTCTTGTGTCTCTAGAAACCAGTGGTACATGCTTGTCACAGTGAGAGCTGGGATGGCAGCCCTGGATATGGGCTGTAACCAAGCAGAAGGAAACCTCACAAGGGGTTTATTAGTGTGATAGCCATAGTAACAGCTATATTTCCAAATGTACCTGTCATGTCCAATGTTTATCATACATTAATCAAAGAAGATTATTTTATCCAAATGGCTAAAAAACTTTAGGTGTTTTTAGGAAACAATGCCTATGCTTTTCATTATCCAATTGCTATGTACACTTAGTTTAGTTATACCTCAGACTTTAGGACTTTTGGTACCCATTCCCCTTCCAAATATGAATAAGTGAATGAATGAGTGAATGAATTCAATCACTCAATAAATATTTACTCAGTACTTATTATAGTATTCAGTACATACTAGGCCCTGGCATGAGCTATTAACCAAAGAATGTAAGTCCTCATTTCAGTCTCAGAGGAAAGACAGACATTAACCAAACAATAGCAAAATGTCCATTGGCAGCAATGGCATGAATGAGGTGTGGGTAAAGGAAACTCCAAGTGTGTAATAGGGAAACTGACCTCCTCTACAGAAGGACTTTCCTGAGAATGCAACAATAGGACTTAGCTCTAAAGAGTGAGCAGGAGTTAATAAGAGTAGGGATGGGGTTTGGGTGGAAGAGAGAGCAGCATTGGCGAGTGCCTGTGGGAGGTAGAAACGGCTCCATGTTTGAGGAGCTGAAAAAGACAATCAAAGCTGGGGTTAAGTTTGGAGTCTGAGTGGCCTAAAGTAAATGAGGCATAAAATAAAATCTTTTTGGTAGAAAACAACCAGGATTAAATTTTATATTCAAAAATTTTAATTAAAAATTTTAATGTAAAAGTAGGATTTGTTCATGGTAGAAATAGGTGAAAAGCACAGGAAAGTACAGAGAAGAAAATAATCACTCATAGCCATACACACAGACCCAAACCATTCTTAACATCCTAGTGGGTTTTATTCCCCTATACTTTTCCTGTGTGCATCCTTTATAGAGACATTGAAATCACACTATGTTTATCATTTTGCATGTTGCTGTTTTTTTCTTATGATTAAGTTTTAAGTATTGATCCATTTCGTTATATACTTTATTTGTGTCCTTTTTAGTAGTTGCATAATACTCCACCCCTTTTAATCTGTTGAGCAGGTTCCATCCTAGTTCTCAGTCTACGTGGAAGACAATTCATGAAAGAGTATGCAGTCTTCTGACATCCCATAGAGCTCAGCAGCACCGAAATAAGGTCAGGGTTTCTGATATAACTAGATCTTCCCTAACAGAATACTATGGGAACTGGGGCTTAAAGTCTAGTGGGGGAGACAGACATTAATCAAATAACCACAGAAATAAATGTAAAATTGTGACGCTTGCCAAGGAGTACTCTCCTGGTATCCTGAGAGTGTACTGTAGTGGGTATTTGACTTGGTTGGGAGTCAGGTCAGGATCCTGGAGGAAGAGACAGTGGAGCTTAGATCTGAGAGATGGCTAGCAGTGAATTTCTTGCACAGCATTCATCAAGCAGAGGTCCTGCAGCAGGATCCTTCCACAAGACTGAGAGAAGACATTCTAACTGGCCCCTCAGGGCGTTCCCTTCCCCTACCCACCGGAATCCCAATCCAGGAAAGAATACAGTTGTATGTGTGATCTGTGTTAACACCACAACACAGAATAAGATTTAATAAAGTGGTCTCATCTGTTTGTTTTTATGGGGGTGTGGGGATTGTTTCTTATCCATTGGCGGATATACCCAGAACTTTGTATCTGCCACAGACATAGATAGAGGCAAGTGTCGCCATTTCAAAAAAAAAAATCCAAATCAAAGGTTAACAGTGCCCCCAGTGGCTGAATTTAGCCATACCACATAGTTGAATTCATTGTCTTGACTTATTAAATACTGGTATGTACTAGCGTGATAGGATGACAAATGAAATGTTGATTACCCTAGCCAAGGGGGTAGTGAATTACTTTCCTTTCCTTCTGCAGAGTCACTGACTTTTCTTTAATTTCCAACATTTTCAAGTAAAAAAATCTCTTCAAAATATATATATATATATATATATATATATATATTTTTTTTTTTTTAAAGAGAAGGAAGAATGAAAGAAAAAGGAAGGAAGGAATACACACACGCACACACACACACGCACACACACACACACACACACAGTGAACCCCATATATGGCATAAATGGGATACATAGACCTCTTACACACAAAACTGCACATCTAGGTATCATCAATGTCAGTTACATTATAGATAATGTAAGTGCTGGATTTTGTGTGTCTGTGTGTGATAGAAAGATTCTACCTCTGAAGTAAATTATATCCTTGAAAGACCAAGCTACTCTCTGAAGAAATATCCACTGCATGAACAGAGATATTTTTAAGCTGCTGTTGTATGTAAGTAAATAGACTCCTGTCCACCACACTTATCTTCCTTTGCTAGAAGAATTTCAGTTTTCTGCTGTCAATCCAAAGTAACTAGAAAGTGTGGTGGACAGGAGACTTGGAGGAGATCCGAGAACCGCGTTCTTCCTTCACTCCATATAGTGATAGTCCCTATGTCTGCCAGCTTTCTTGCCTCCTCTTCTACCCCTCCCCCCGACCTCATCTTTATCTAATGGACCCTCTGGGCTTCTTTCAGCTCTGTGAACACAAGCTCTTTCCTGTCTCGGGACCTTTACACATGTTGCTTTTTCCTTCTGGAACACTTCTGACCTGGATAACTTCTATTTGTCCTTCAGGTCTCATGACTTTCCTTGACACTCCCTCCTCTGATGTTATACCCTTTAGCACCCTGCACTTTTTCTTTCTTTCGTAAATTATGGAACAATGTATTTTATTTATTTATACATATTTACATTTACTGATTTATTATAAAGGATATTGCAAAGCACACATGAAGAGAAGCATAGGGTACAATATGGGAGAAGGGTAGAACTTCCATCCCCTCCCTGGGCATGCCACCCTCCAGCCTCCATGTGTTCAGCTACCCAGAAGCTCACAATTTATTATTTTATTTGTATTTAGGTTGATTGTTCAAAATCTGTCTCTTCTATGAGAATGAAACCTTCATAAGATCAGGGAATCTATCTCTGTTGCTCACCACTGTATACCCTGCATTTAGTGTAATACAATGGAGTCACATTTAACTTTTCAAACACACATACGAGGTGTGTGCCCTGAATAAGAAACCTGAGTTCCCACCAGCCCCGCTGCTGTCCTTGAGTCACTTGAGCCTCCACCATGGTTGATGCTCAGTAAAGAGTTTGTATAAGTGAATATCGAATGCAGTAACAAGGCAACTCTAGAGTTCAGGTGTGTGGCAAGTAGTTAGCCATAGTGTGGAGTATCATCATTCCTCAGGTGTTCTTCCATTCCCTTCCTAACCCAGGTCTAGAATACTAATAGCTCTTTCTTATTATAAGCTTCCTAAGTGCCAAGCACTGGTTCAAATACTTTGCAGGTATTAAATGAGTTAATATTCAATTCTCACAACAACCCTATGAGATGTGTTATCATTTGCTCCATTTTACAGATAGAGAAACTGAGGCACACAGAGGTGAGGTACTTTGACATGGCTAGTGAATGGTGGAGCTGAGAGTGCGAACCTGGCTCCAGAGACCATGCTCTTAACCATTGCATTCTGATGCCTTTCCAAAGCAAGAATGTGCAATAGGAGAACCCTGGGGAGAAAGCCAGGGTAGGTGTGTAAGGGAGAGCCCTTAGGAACTTGAGCAGAGTTTGTGGATGCTGCCCTTGAACGTGTCCCACTAGGATCCTATAGTGTTGCAATGTTTAGTCCACATGCCAGCAACTTCAAAATAATTAGTAGTCTTTTTTTAATTTTGAATTGGAGACCCACTCTGTCGCCCAGGCTGGAGTGCCGTGGCATGCTCACGGCCACTCCAGTGTTGACCCGCTGGGCTCCAGCGATCCTTCCACCTCAGCCTTCCAAGTAGCCAGAACTACAGGTGTGTGCTACTGTGCCTGGCTAATTTTTTGACTTATAGTAGAGACGAGGTGTTGCCAAGTTGTCCGGGCTGGTCTTGAACCTGCGGGCTCAGGCAATCCACTCACCTCGGCCTCCCAAAGTGCTGGGATGACTGGCTGAGCCACCAACCTGGCCAATTAGGAGTCTTTCTAAACAATAAAGGAGTGTGGGCTGACCTGCTAAGTTTTCATTGCAGTCAGGCTCCTGAAAGTCTGATTTGAGGGTCATTTTTATGTTAGGGCACAAGTGACCTTGCCCCAGGGCTGGCCAGAGCTGTCTGCCTTCAGCACAGAGGAATGTGCAGGACAGCTCAGTAATTCCCATTCTGCAGCCTTCTACCTTAGAACGTTCTGCTTGATAGATTAAAGGATGGATCTGGGCCACTTAATCTCCGGTTGCCAAAATAATCATCCAGCCATTTATTAGGTGGTTATACAGACCTTAGTCCACATAATTACCAAATGCCAAATTGTGTTGAATTTCAACATGGGTAAGTAACATCAAGTTACATAATGTCCCGAGCCAGCCAATATGTGGACACTGATGTGAGGGGACAGAGAAAAGATAAGAAAAACATGTAAATTCTGTCTGGAAAATAGTTTTCCTAAGTAACAGGAGTTCCCACCCAGTTGTTTGGAATCTTCTCATAGGCCTTCCCTGGAAGCTCTCCATACCATCCTCCCTGGGCCCACTTTTTGAGTCATGGATTTCTGGTGAGGCAGGGATCCTGGAGGGCTGTTAGTAAAGGTACTTGTGGTTATTTTTTAAAAAGCCCAGGCAACTCTGGCCAGTCTTAAGCAACAGGGCATTTCTTAGAAAGATGCTGAGTAACCATCCCAGTGAATCTAGGAAAGATGCAAATGAGCAAGGTCTAGTAGATAAAACAGGACAGCTAGGGCCATTATGGGTTGGGAAGACATCTGAGAGAGGAAGTGTTTGGCACATGACCCAGGGCTTCCCACTGCACATCCCAGTCCCTGCTTTTCTCTCTTAATTGCAGCAACCATTCCTGTCCCTTCCCTTCTTTACATCAGCAATTTCACTCCCGATCACCTTTCCCTCTCTAAGCTTCCCAGGGAGACAAGAAAGTCGGTTCTTACCACAAAGAGATTAGGAATTCTTGAGCCCCAAATCACAAGTTCAATTGTCTAGCCAGGTAGAGGCAGAGAATGTGTAGAAGAAATGTAGTGTAGAAGGGGTTGGAATACATCTATTTCTCCATATTCTGGATGTTTTGAGTCTTGGCACTTTGGGCATAAAACAGATTATTTATTTGTACACTTAAAAATGGTGAATTTAGCCAGGCTCGGTGGCTCAGCCTGTAATCCCGTGCCTTTGGGAGGCTGAGGTGAGTGGATTGCCTGAGCCCGCGGGTTCGAGACCCGCCTGGGCAGCGAGACCTCATCTCTACAATAAATCAAAAAATCAGCCGGGCGTGGTAGCGCATGCCTGTAATGCCGGCTACTCAGAAGGCTGAGGCGGAAGGATCACCAGAGCCCAGCAGGTTGAGGCTGCGGTGGCCGGGAGCGGCCACTGCACTCCAATCTGGGCGACCGAGTGAGACTCCAACTGAAAAAAAAAAAAAAATGGTGAATTTGGGCAACACCCTCGGGTCCCCTCCCACTGTGGGAATTTTTCTGTCCTCTCAATAAATCCTTCTTTAAAAAAAAAATTGGTGAATTTTATCACAAAACACTCCAAAACACAATGAACCCCACAAAAACAAACAATCCCGCAGATTATCCCTAGTTCTCTTGGAAGGCATGATGGCTGTGACGTCTGCCCTTATAAAGTGTGTGAGCTATTGGCCCTTGTTTGGTACACTCCGACTGAGGTTCGACTTTCAATGATGGGTTGTCAAGGCAAGGCCACTGCTGTGAAACCTCTGGTCCCTCAGGCCCTCTGCCTTCTGTGAAGGGTGGAGGGCACTGACCAAGCTGCACCAACTCTGGCCCACTGAATTCTCTATCCCTGTGAGCACCTCCCTGTGATCCTAGGTTCTACCATGTGCCTGGCCTTCAGCAGGAGTTAGTCCCCTTGTAATGCCCTCAACTGGAGGGTTGCCAAGGAACTTAGGCCTGGATTTCCTCAGACATAGACAAGAATTGTAGCCCCAAATTGTTTCTAAATTAAAGAACAGCAAAAAGGAAAGAAACAAATAAAGGGTAAAAATTAATTGACATGCTGGTTTCTGATCTTGTCATAGCTCATGAGACCTCCGGCCCTTAAGACGGTGTCTGGTATGGCTTCTAAGCTCGCCTCTCTGCACTGGGCAGGAGCCAGTTTACTTTTTTTCATGATGGCCCCCTCATCTCCATTACGTCGAAAGCTGAAAGCAAACCAGCCTACACATTCCAGCTTCACTATTTGGCACCCTCCCTCTCTGATTTGGTCATACCACCTTCTGAAGAATTTGTTATTTGGTGTCTTGTGAGCATTGATGCAATAGGTAATGATGTACCTCCTTGCATCCCAGGAGCTTCTGGTTTTGTCAGAGTCCAACAGACTACGTGGGCAGTGACTATGCACCCAAATCACAAGGCAAATTTCTGGGTCAGCATCTAATCCTCAGTGGGCATTAGAATCACTTGGAGCTTTAAAATTATTGATATCCAGGCCATACTTTAAGCCAACTTAGCTGGAATCTCTACAGGTAGTGTCTAGCATTGGTATATCTATAAAAAGTTATTCATGGGATTCTGTTGCACATTTAGGATTGAGAATCTCTGCAGTAGGTTGCAAGTTTCAGGATGGGAAATTTGGAACACTCCCTGCCAACCCTATACTGACCCCCTCCATGCTAAAAAAAAAAAAAAAAGAAAGAAATTATTCTATAGAATAAAATTGATTGGAACATATTTAACAGTTCAATTCAATAACACCTAGCAGTTTTTAGCACTTTTACTATGTGCCAAAGACTGTACTAACTTTTCATGATATTGCTAGGAGGCTGGTACTCTGAGTATCATCATTCTATTATACAAAGAGGTCAAGTAACTTGCTCAAGGATACAAGGATGCTCATTGCCTTAATCTGCATTGGGAATCTCAGGGAAAAGGCTCGGAGACCAAGTGATCCCAAGGCAGAGTTATATGCCAAGACTAGGATAGTATGAAATCATCCTTTTCTCCTTGGTTGTGTGGATTGTTCATTTGTTGCCACATGTAGTATGTGATGTTTCAAATTTTACAGGAGAAAATGAATGAAAGCTGAAGGAAGATCATGAGGAGCTTACTCATTGAGACAAAGGACACATCCTTAGAGAAGTGAACAATGGCTTTTGTTATTTGTATTGAGATTGGTGTCTTAATCCCCTTTAAATCAAACCTGTACTCAGCCTTCTGTGCCCAGGTAAGAGTTGTTGATTAAAGTGTTTGCTGTTTGGGACTCACATTTTCTTGTCAAGCTGGAAAATCTGTGTTTTAGTTTGTTTGTATGTTTGTTTTGAACATGAAATAGAAAAGCACAATAGTTTCCATTTTGAAAGTACTCCTTAGAATCCTAACTGAAAATGTCAGGATGCCTCTTCAGGTGCTCTTCATTTTTGACTGTGGATAAAGTTCTTTTTTCCTCCCTTCCTTCTGCCCTTCCTCCTCCTGATCCCTCTTTCCCTCTCTTCCTCCTCCCTTCCCTTTCTCTCTGTCTCTTTCAACTTAAATTTCATATGAGTTAGAGGAAGTCGTTAGAGAAATAATCTGATTAATCCTCCAGGAAAGATTGTCGACCTGTTTCTTTTTGGTAGATCTATTTTTGTTGTTGTTTGATTATTTATTTATTTATTTATTTTGAGTTGGAGTCTCACTCTGTCACCCAGACTGGAGTGCAGTGGCTGCTCCCGGCCACCGCAGCCTCGACCTGCTGGGCTCCGGCAATCCTTCCGCCTTGGCTTTCCAAGTAGCTGGAATTACAGGCGCGCGCTGCTATGCCCGGCTAATTTTTTGATTTATTGTAGAGATGAGGTCTCGCCAGGTTGCCCAGGCGGGTCTCAAACCCGTGGGCTCAGGCAATCCTCTCACCTTAGCCTCCCAAAGTGCTGGGATTACAGGCTGAGTCACTGAGCCCGGCTTGTTTGATTTTTTTAGTGTTAGACTTGCTTTACATGAAGTCCACTAAAAACCTAGGAAAAGAGAGCATTACATCTGAAGAATGCAGATACCATTTTAAAGGTTAAATTTATATGACACATTTGTAAGAGGAGACTAGTATGTTTGGAGTGTAGTTTAAACTACTACCTCTCCTTTGCTCCAGCAGTTTTTTATAAATTTATATGAGGAACAAAACCTTTCTCAAACATTTCTCTAAAAGAAGAACCTTTTTAAGCAAGTAGGTTCTACAGATATGACTGCCAAAATCATAGTTTAAATGAGTAGTGTGCCTTTATGAAATGCTTACCCAGTACGAGAGAACAGAAAGAGAAAGGGGACTAGAGGCACATTTGTCTTCATGGACACAGATACAGAGAAGAGGGAGTATGAAAATGGAACTACCTGCACTTCTCTCATACTATAACCTTAGCATTTTCTTCTACCATACCTGCTATGGTCTGAGTGTTTCTGTCCCCTCAAAATTTATATGTTGAAATCCTAACCCCCATGGTAATGGTATTAGGAGCCTTTTGGTATTAGAAGTGATTAGGTTGTGAGGGCAGACCCATCATGAATGGAGTCAGTACCCTACACAATAGACTCAAGGGAGCTTGTTTGTGCCTTTCACCATGAGAGGACACAGTGAGAAGGTACTATTTGTGAACCAAGAGGAGGGCCCTTACCAGATTCAAATCCGCCTCCATCTTGACCTTGGACTTCCCAGCCTCTACAACTGTGAGAAATAAATTTCTGTTGTTTATAAGCTGCCCAGTGTATGATATTTTGTTGTAGCAGCGCAAATGGACTAAGATGATACCCTAGGCCAGGTATAGTGACTCACACCTCTAATCCCAGCTCTTTGGAAGTTCCAGGTATGAGGATTACTTGAGCCCAGGAGTTCAAGACCAGCCTGAGACACATAGCGTGACATTGTCTCTACAAAAAATTCAAAGATTAGCTGGTCGTGGTGGCCTTAATAATAGCTGCTACTTGGGAAGTAGAGGCAAGAGGATCACCTGGGCCCAGGAGGTCAAGGCTGCAGTGAGTCGTGATCATGCCATTACACTCCAGCTTGGGTGACAGAGTGAGACCCCCAGCTCCAAAAAAGACAATGTCCTAAAACTCTTTTAGCTTTTACAAGATTCATTGCAAGTCAGGTTTTTTGTTTGTTTGTTTTTTTAACTTCTGCTCCTGGGAATTGGTTCATTAGATAAATTAGGAAAATGAAATTAAAATCAAAACAAAAAAGAAGCTCTAAAAACAAAAACAACAAAGTGAAATTCATTTATCTTCTCAGAATTTCAGCCATATAAAGTATATCCAAGTTGAGCATCCCTAATCTGAAAATCTGAAATGCTCCAAAATCCAAAATTTTTTGAACACCAACACCACACCACAAGAGAAAAATTCCACACCTGACCTCATGTGATAGGTTGCAGTTAAAACACAGTCAAAGCTTTGTTTCATGCGCAAAATTATTTAAAATATTACATTAAATTACCTTCAGGCTATGCGTATAAGAGGTGTATGAATCATAAGTGATTTTTCAAGTTAGACGTGGATCTTATCGCCAAGATATCTCATTATGTTTATGCAAATATTCAGAAATCTGAAAATAAAACTAAAACCAAATTTGAAACACTTCTGATAAGTCTCAAGCACTTCAGATAAGCGATACTCAGCATGCGTTACAACCAACATTCTACCTTAGGAAGGCAGACAGTAAGGTTAAATTATATATGCTAATAGGTTATTGCTGTCTCTAAAACAATAGTTACTGATTTGTTATCTTGATGTCACCTCTAAGAAGTTCTTAAAAATAAAAATACTGTGTTATCTTAAGATTATGGTACAATTCTTAGGGGAGGGTCATAGTTACCTCATTTCAGCTGTTGTTAAACTATATATTATGACATTCAGTGTTCAGTTTTTTTAATGGTTTGAGCATAATCCCTTAACTTAATTGAATAAGATCTTAAATGCCCATTCTTAAAGTCATTTTTGTTTTCCTCACTAAATTATGCTTTTTCACCCTGACTTTCAAATCTGCTAACTCTATTGTTTAAATTATTCTTATTTTAACTTCTTATTTTTCAAGGAATTATTTCAGTTTTGAGCAATCATACTGGGGCCAGGACTGCAGTTGAGGAATTTTGCTTTTGGAGTATATAATAGCATGAATAATTTTGTGACATATTGGGGTTTGGATTATTTTGGGACGATCTATGTCATTAAACATGATAAGAAGAATTTCTGTCTATACTACATCAGTTTATTCCTTTCTTGGCTTTCTCAGTTGCAGATCTGTCAAAGCCTGGGCTGTAATTTACAAGCATGTTTTTTGGGGTCTTGATTTGCAGAGGCTTCTGGGAAAATCTTCTTTGTGGAACCTGGGTCCTCCAAACAAAAGCTGCTGTGCAGTGAGGCAATTTCTCTATGGTCACCACACCGAACCAAAGTTAGCTGAAGCCAGTAGGCCATGAATATTAAAAGAGATTTAAAAATATGGGTGTGAATGACATATTTGATGTAAAAGAGTTGGTTTTAAGTGTATAATTTGAGAAGCCCGTTGGGTATGTGTGAGTTCAGCCTAATCCCTGAATGCCAGCCATTCTCATTATAGCCATTACTTCACTCAGTTCCATTAAAGGAGCCCTCTGGCCTCTTTGAAAGGCAGCCCAAAGAACAAGACATGCCCACTATTCCATGCTGTCACCAGTGAATCTGCTAGCACCACCAGATGGAACTACTGTCCTTCCCTGCTTAGAGGACCCATCTCAGCACTGCTTGGGGACCTGCAGATCTTGGAGAGACCCCCGCCTTCCTTCCTTGTGCTGGGAACTCTACTGAGAGTGATTAAGAGTTGCAACCCTCTGTTCCTTTGGACAGGCACCCTCCCATCCTCCACACTGGATCTTTGTTCATCAGAGAACAGAACCTTTGCTTAGTTTCACCTTCAGAACTAGAGAATTTTGCCAAATTAAACTTTTCCTTGGATGAAAATGTGTCCTTTGCATGATGGCTGCATTGGGGGCACTTTTTCAGTAAAGTGAGGAGTTTCCAGTTCAAAGTTTTTTCTTCGGAGTGCTGCATCTTTTAGGGTGATCCATTAGCAGACCCATAAGTGTGTGTGCATATATTAAAATTTTGTTTGTGTGTTTGTTTTTCTTATCTTTGTTTTTAAATGTACTTTTAACCCATGGTATAATATCAACACTCCTTATCTGCCATAAGAATCACTTGCTGGGGCTTATTTGCTCTCTGTGACTCTGTGGTGACTACAATGCTTTGTCTCCTCTCCAAGACCATGCCAGCTGATAGGACAGACAGAATGCAACAGATGTATACCTGGGTCTGCTTTGCATGTGTGCAAGGTTCACATGGGAAGGCAGGGACTTATTTTTATCTGACACTGGGACTTGGATGGTAGCAGTGAGGGTTAACACGACCTGCCCCAGGAATAGTGAGGAAAGGGCTTTGGGAGCTGCTAGGCCACTGAGACACCAGGATTAGGACTCTTAAATGAAGAGAGGAAAGGGAGACTCCTACCAAGTCAGAGAGTTTGCACTAATGTAAGAGAGTTGAGATACGCATGGTGGGCCTTGGGTTTTTGGTTTGTGATTGGTTGGGGGGGGATGCTTTTGAACCAGCAAAGGTGTGTCACTGCTTAGCCTGGTGGGTGTGGAGGGTGATTTGTCCCCCACATTCCTCCTTTCACAAGGGAGGCCAGGACAAGGGCAGCTTTGGGGGCTTGGGAGAGCTACATCCTTTTACAGACCTCACCATCTACTTTTGGAGCCCTAGAAAGCCAGCAAAAAGATGGGGCAAAAGTTATGTCCTTCCTCCCACCACACCCCTGCTCTCATTCACTCCTTTGTTCAGTATCGCTGTTTGCCAGGTGCTGGCTGCATCTATTGCTCCGTGTGAGCATGATGGTGTAGGTGTTGACAGGATTCTGGAGCAAGAGCTCTTGGATTTGAATTCCAGTTCTGCCATCTACAGGCTGAGTGTCTTGGGTGAATAATTTAACCTCTTTGTGCCTCAATGTCCTTATGTGTAAAATGGAAATAATAATAGGATCTGCTTCATAATGTTGTTATTGTTGATAGAGGACACATTTAAAGCACATTAAATCAGTGCCTGGCACAAAATGAGAACTTGAATTCTTAGTTTCTTGCCCTGTGGATACTTGAGGAAAGCATTATTTTCCCCTGTTTTTTGCTAAGGACACTGAGACTTAGAAAAGCAAGTGTCAAGAGTCAATTCCCAAACCCTGTTCTGTTTTGTTTCTAAACATCATGTTCTCTC